TTGAAGCGGAGTGGGGAAAGGAACATTCTACTAACTCAGCAGTTCTCAACCTGTGGGTCTCGACCCCTTTGGGGGTCAAATGACCCTTTCACAGGGGTTGCCTAATACCATCGGAAAACACATATATAATTACATATTGTTTTTGTGATTAATCACTATGCTTTAATTATGTTCAATTTGTAACAATGAAATTGGGGGTCACCACAACATGAGGAACTGTATTAAAGGGTTGCGGCATTAGGAAGGTTGAGAACCACTGTACTAACTAGAGACTCCTTGGTGGGAATTACCCCTGAGTTGTGAAAACAGCAGGGAGGAGGAGGATGAAAGAATGTAGCCTTGGGAGTAGCTTATCTTGTCCCACAGTTTGAACAGAGAAGCAGTTTGAATCAGAGGAGCCAACAATCTTGGGGTTTAATTGCCAGGTGATTCTCATAAAATGTGGAAGGCCACAGCAAAAGAAAAGAGAGGCCTTTTTCTGTCCTTACAAAATGAAATAGGGAATCTAAGACTGGAAAATTAAACGAAGACAAAGAGCTTTGCAGTCCACTTATATAAGGATTTTATCTTGGGACAAAGGATTAAAACCTCTCCTCACAAATGCAGGAGAGGAGAGGGAAGAGAAGGGAGAGAGGAGGAGGATTCTAAATGCAACTAGAGGACACAGAGCTAAATCAACCTGAAACCAACTAAAAGACAACAGAGAGGAGGGAGGAGAGCAAAGGAAGAGTGCAGCCTAATCTCACCTCACCATTTACACAGAGAAGCCAACAGTCTCAGGACTTAATTACCTGGTGCTTCGCATAAATTCTGGGAAAGTCATAACAAAGAAAAGGGGAGACCTTCAGAGTTAAACTGTACCAGAATATCTAGCAGAGCAATTAAACAACAAAACCCTGTGGACAGAAGGGTATATAATGCGTTGAAACCCCACCCTACTTGCTCTTCAGATTAGCTGAGAGCCTGTATGCACTTTATAAGGCAGATGTATAGATTTGCTTTGCTTGCTTCTTTAATAAATGTGCATGCTTTAAGTTTTTAATAAATTGACTTTATCACAACATAATCTGAAGTCTCTCATTTAAACACATTTATATGAGCATGACAAGAACTGAGGTGGGAATAGCCCTTTCTTTCTGACTACAGGGCTGTCCGATAACAGCCCTCTGGTGTCTGTGAGAGGTACCTGTCACAAGACCATCCTATGTGGTTACTGGGGAGACCTTGACCAGAGTACCCCAGATGTTAAAGTGTTAAAGGCCAATTTGCCACACACGTTCAAAGGCAATGACACAGAAGTTTACTGTACAAACTGCACAGGCATACCTTTCCATAACCCAAATATTAATGTCACAATTTGGCAAGAAGCCTCTTTTGCCTGAGTTGGTATAAAAATGTGTTACTGACCAGCCGGTGTGTGGCTGCTTTGTGGGGCTACTTTGAAGAACTGCTTTGTCTGATGGCTCCTTGTTAGCAATGGCTGCTTGGTCTGAAATAAAGTCTCTTCTATACACCTATGGCTCCTCATGTCTTCTTCCAATTCCCAACATCCACGGAGGTCCAGCCCCTAGCAGAAGGGCTGTGATCCAGCAGTTACTTTAGGTCTCTGAGTTTGTAAAGTTGCCCTGCAGTTTTCTCCTGAGCTTGTCAGGTTTAGTATGTGGCCCCTTTTCAACACAAATATTTCCTGAACATTTGACTTCTCAACAGAGATGGACAATAATCTCAGACATTTTTTACCTCAGTGTTGGAATCCTACAGAACTGGTCCTGGTTCCCCCTGGGCCATGTGCTCTGTCAGCAATTTTCACGCGAGATTGAAAACTGGGAGTGGGCCCAGCCATCAAACAGTTCACCAGAAACTGGGTGGTACCTGAACTCGAATAGCACCCAGAGAAGCTGCTATGTGTCTGGACCATGAGTGAGCCTCTCAGAAGCACAACGTTCAGGGATGTCAAACTCAGGCAGGCTGTGCACCAGCTTCCCCTGACCTGACCCCAGAGGGGACAGGAGGAGAAAGCTCCTGGTCCACAGGGTTGGAGAGGTCAGTTCTGCCCACTCCTTGCAGGGCAGGATGATCACAGATGGTGGGGGGGTGGGAAGCGAGAAAGGGAAAGAGGAACAGCCTAAGGCCGGTCCCTAAGAACAGGTACTCCTTCACCCCGGTGCTCCAGCAGCAGTGGTTCTCAGCTGTGGTTCAGAAGCAGGCAGCTGCAGGTGGACCTGGCTGGGCCTGAGTGGTGTGTGGCTGCCTTGGGCTGTCCAAGAGTCAGCCACCAGGTCCTCTCCTTGAGGAGCCTGCTGGGACTCTTCCTGACTCCTGTTCAGGGCTGGGCTTCTCAGACACAAGCAAACACCAGTCCCTCTTAAATATACACTTAAATCTATTATACTGGTAGCTTCAGGTGAAGCATTGGCTTCTAAATTTAAACTACTGTCTCATTTCCAGACTCCAGTTGGGGTATTTACTAGTAAGGCCTATAGGCTTTGGCTGATGTTAAAGTGAAAAGGTGGTATAATAAGTAGCCTTTGCCAAGGGGCTCTCAGTTCTAAAAATGGGGCTTCCTAACAATACTTTCCCAAAGAAACACACATATTTCCCAGAGAAAAGGAAATGCATGGGATATTCTGGCTGACTTTGAGCACAACACCACCTTTCTGCAACCCAAAAGTCAGAGACCCGCCCCACAGATCAGTGCCTCTGGAGCCTATGCTAAGAGCTGCATTTTAGAAGGAAAGGCAAGTATCCTATCTAATAAAGAGGTAATATGCAAATTGACCATCACTCCAACACACAACATGGCCACCCCCATGTGGATGATGGCTGCCACAAGATGGCCAGCAGGGGAGGGCAGTTGGGAGGGACCAAGCCTGAAAGGGAGGGCAGTTGGGGGCTATCAGGCCTGCAGGGGAGGGCAGTTAGGGGTGACCAGGCCTGCAGGGGAGGGCAGTTGGGGATGACCAGGTCTGCAGGGGAGGGCAGTTAGGGGCAATCAGGCCAGCAGGGGAGCAGTTAGGCATGGATGAGGCTGGCAGGGAAGTGGTTGGGAGCCAGTAGTCCTGGATTGTGAGAGGGATCCCAGATTGGAGAGGGTGTAGGCTGGGCTGAGGGACATGCATGCACACACACACACACACACACACACACACACCCCGTGCACAAATATCATGCACCAGGCCTCTAGTATAATAATAATCATAATAAAATAATAGTAGGTTCAGATAACAATCACCAATAGATTCTAAACCACTGGTGAATGTGATTGGAGAACAGTATATTTACAGTCTCAAATGATCTCCCCACAGATTACTAATTTATTACAAAGCAAGCAAGAAACATGGAGAGACTTGGAGGCACTGCCTTAAATGATCAAGTCAATGCCAACAGGGATAGGACAATCATGGCACTGTCCTGATAAGATACCCTAAAGGGGCACAGCATCATTATGTGATGCTTCTGTTAAATATATTTACCTTGAATCTAATCATCAGGAAAGCATTGAACAATTCCAAATAATTATAAAATATTATAAAAAACTGTTCTGTGCTCTTTAAAAATATAAATGACATGGAAGACAAATAAAGGCACATCAGTATTTCCAAATTAGAGGAAATTAAAGAGACATGATAGCTAAATACAAATGTAATCCTGTATTAAATACTCAACCAGATGAGAAAAAAAAATGTGTAATGGACATTTTGAGGACAATTTAAATAATATTTAAAAAGGATTGACTATTAGATAATAATAGTGTATCAATATTAAATTCCTGAATTTGATCATTAGGTGTAATTCTAAAAAATAAATAAATAAAAAATCCAAAGGGTCATAATACCTACAACTTACTTTCAAGAAGGTCAGTAAATAAACATAATATGTATGTGTATGTATAACTTTATATTTCAGGTAGCATCCTGGTTTTTCTAATGAGCCCATCTTTCAAAGTACATGTTTTCTTTTACATTATTGTTTTTTAAGGGTTCTTTTTTTTAATGAGCTACAAAACCAGAGAATGAGGTTTCTTTGATTTGTGTATAAAATAAAAGTTAATTGACTCTGTATGAGGCCTTAAGGACTTCCCAATGAATAAATTACACTAAATAAGGTGATAAATCTTTGGCCATCTAATTAGACTACATAGAATTATTTTATACTCACTTTTGGATTCTTGGGTGGTTGAGTTCACTAGGAAAGTAATTTCTGAATAAAATCTTGTATTTTATAATTTTTAAAGTTAATAAAAAAAGTTTGAAAAAAATTTTGACACATTCCTGAAAAGTTCTATGTAATTAAATTTTTGTAATCTATGTAAGGGAACCTTGCAATGATTCTTTTTCTGAAATATGGAAGACTTAAAAAAACACTTGCTTGTTTTCCATATGCTAACTTACTTAAACCATGTCATGTTATTTTTTGCTTGTTTGTAAGTGTGCAGTTCAGCCAAGCCTAAGAAGGACTTTCATTTTCAGAAATAAGCCGACTAGGGATCAGACTAACTTTCCACTATCAATAACCAAATATGCTGACAAAAACAACTATCTTCTTAAAAACATTGAAGATAGCAAGAAACTAGAGTCCAAAATCAAAGGGAAAACAAGATCTATTCAAGTTATGGCATCTAAAGCTGTTTTTGAATTAGTATTTACCAACTTGGGCAAACTTGAACTGCTGGGGTTGGACCCCAACATGAACCAAGAGATCACAGTTCAATTCTTGGTCAGGGCACATCCCTGGGTTGCAGGCTTGATCTCTAGTGTGGGGCGTTCAGGAGGCAGCCGATCAATGATTCTCTCTCATTATTGATGTTTCTATCTGTCTATCCCCTTCCCTTCCTCTCTGAAATCAATAAAAATATATATTTTTAAAAGTTTTAAATCAACCAAACTCCAAGGACATTTGGCTGTTGAAACTACTGCACTCTCAATAATTCTAATACTCAAGGGATTAAAGAATGCAACCTCAGAGATTTTACATACAGAAACAATAAAGCATAATTGAACTTTACTGAATTTTAAAAATGTAGTTCATTTCTAATTCCACTGAGTAGCTGCCCAGGCTTCAGCTTCAGTGATGCCTGTGGTCATTGGGATTTGAGGGGTCCAGGTCTCGAGAGTGCCGGGCCTTTTTAGGCCTATGGGATTTATCTCGGCTCCTACTTCTACTTCTACGGCTATGTCCCTCAGAATGCCCCTCGTGCCAGCCAGAATGTATGTCTGAGCTTCGACCTCTGTCCCTATCCCTGTTTTTTTCTTCTCTTTCTTCCCTCCTGCTTGAGGACTTGTGCTCATGCTTGGGCTTCTCCCTCTTCAGCTCCTGCTCATGGTCCTCTACTCCCCCGCGGCAGGTTGTCTTGACCTCAGGGGAGCTGGGGTGGTGCTTCCACACCCCCCTAGACTCTGGCTTCTGACCCCTCTCTGAGTTCTTGCTGCTGTGCTTTTTAGAGCCAGGGTTGTCCTTTTCCTTTATCATCTTGCTTCTAGGAGTTGAAGAGGAGGCTGGCTGCTCTGCCAGTTCCTCCTGATCAGTCTTCTCTTTGTCTTTCTTTCTTTTCTTTTTTTCCTTTTTGTCTTTTTTGTGTTTTTTGGTGGGCTTGTCCTCTTCAGAGCCCTCAGATGAATTTGATGAAGGGGTGTGAGCCCCACAGCCCTTCTCCTGGAGCTCTTTGGTCACAATATCCATTTCTTCTGAGTCCTTAGGAGTCCGATAGTGAGACACATGATCCACTCGGATAGTTCTTCCTTTAATTTTTATCCCATTAAAATTGTCAACAGCCAGAATTGTGCTCCTCTGGTCTTCATAGCAGAGGAAACAGAATCCTTTGGATTTCCCAGTCTTCTTGTCTCGCACCAGATTAATGTTAACGATCTCCCCATATTGTGAGAATACACAGATGATATCTCCTTCAGGCAGTTCATAGGGAAGTCCTCCCAGGAAGATCCAGGCGCTGTCTTTGTACTCGGAATGCCAGGACACTGTATCCGCCACCCCAAGCTGGGCCTCACGCTCATTCAGCTCATTGATCAGCTTCACTTTCGTTAAAGGGTTCATCTCCGTGGTTTCTCGCTCAGCACAGAGGCACCCACTACGGGAGAGTCCTATTTGGGCGCCAGATGTTGGGGTCCAACCCCAGCAGGTCCAGGGGTCCCCAAAGGTGTGGATGGAGT